GTACTTCAGCTGTTATTCACAATTTGCAAATTGTACTTGCTTTCCATATGGTATCGTTTGAATCCTACTGTGCCTGCTGAGTTGTCACCAGTCTACTTTTTTTTCTTTGTTCTCGCCTTTTTTTTTTTTTCTTTTTTTCTTTTTTTCTTCTTGTGTTAATTGCAAAATGACCGCCTTCATCGCGACTTCCCGAAGGCACACGCTGCTTTCGGCTGCAGTGCTCTTCCTTGTGCTCTCCGCCAAAACCACACAAGGTGAGCGGGTTTTTTCGCCTCTGCCGTCTCAAGTTCCTTGATCTCAGTGAATTTCGGCTTTTCTTTCTTTTCTCAATGACTCGCTCTCAGTTGAGACCATAAACTCCTAATTTTGCGCGCACTTTCGCTCATTTCGCCCGCTTCCAACGCTGTTCCTCCTTTTCGTTTTTGAAGGCCTCTCCGCCTCCATGCTCTGTTCTCTTTCTCATCCCTCAGCCTGTGTCTCGTCCGGGAGACGTTTCGTCTGCGGGGGTAGCGTCGGTTTGTTTTTTTGTTTTGGTGTTTATGCTTAAAGTGGTGTTTTCCCATCAGAGACCCGCGCCTAGTTTCGACTTTACACCATTCCGCGCTGCATCGTCCTTCAAACCCTGACCCTCTTCCTCTTCCGGTTCTTCCTTCTTCCTTCTATTTCTACTTCTACGTCGACCTCTCGTTCGCGGTTGATGATTTCGAGATCCTTTTTTTTGCGGGATTATTCAAAAAAACAAAATCCACGTTGTTGGTGGTTAATTGCTATTGGGTTTTTTTTTTTTTGTTCTTTATTATTATTTGAATTATTTCGGATTTGTGATCCAAACCACAAAACATTTCTGTTTTGGTATGTTTTTTTGTGTGTGGCACAACTGAAGCGAATGGATAGCGAATCAGTCACCTTCGCTTTGAGCTCGACCTCTGTTTCCCTCTTTTCCCTCTCTTCTCGTTGGTTTCTCGCACCCCCCCCCCTTCATTCCCTCATTGCGGTTTTTTTCGTTTCAATTTTTTTTTGTATTCCTTTCGTTCATTTTCGTGTGAGCGTGGTTACCCAGCCCCTTTACCACCGCCGCCACCACTCGCCAACCGCACGATTGGCACGTTTTAGACAAATTTATTGGCAAAGGCACGTTTTTGTTTTTTCTCTCTCTTTCTCTCTCTTCGTCAAATTGACGCGACCCACGCATCCATCGCCACCTGCATTTTCTCGTCATCAAACGTCGACATCAGCAGCATGAGCACGGTCCTCAGGCGCATCCACTAATCAATATCTCGCGGGGATGTTCAAACACAAAAAAAGTTGGAAAACCACACATCGGATTGTTGTTGAAGGCCGCCTACTCCACCGCTACTCCCAGACGACTCGTAAACTCATTTCTGGAGCTCATCAGTGTCATAAAACGAGCGAATTTGATGCGCTCTGAGACTCGCCATTCTAATTCCTTTTTTTTTTTTTTTTTTTTTTTGGTTTTCTCATTTTGCGTTCTTTGTTTTGCTCCGATCCTTTCTTTCAACAGTATCCGCCGTCGCTTGTCCGTCGAGCGACCTGATCATCAACGAGGTCTTGATCGACTGTTCAGGCTCTGACGACGACTGCGAGTATGTCAAGTTTTTCAACCGAGGGCCAACTGCGATCGACTTGGCCGGACTGACACTGCTAGCAACGCGAGTTGGCCAAACTCCTCCCACTAATAGCACCTTTACATTTGCTACAAATACGCTGGTGCAACCCTTTGATTGCGCAGTTGCAGCGTCGCCAGGAGCCACTGCGAAAATCGGCATCGCTCTTGACATTTCGATGGGCTCGCCTTGTAAGTCGGAACAAGCGTTGTTCTGAGTCACCATTTGACATTCGACCAAATCCTCACCATGGGCGACTTGGAACCGCAGGGCTTGCATCAATCGTATTCGGGCAGGGAACCTCTGATAACACCCTAATTTTGCTGGCAGGCAGCACAGTCTGCTGGAGCATTCCATACAGCACTCTGCCCAAAGTGACTGCAAAGTCAGCTATTCTGACCAACAACCAAGCTGACTTTACCAACCCAGCCAATTGGGCCAGCTTTTCGGGAAGCACTTTCGGCACTGGCACGAATTCCGGCACACCTTTCTGTCACGTAAGAAACCATGCTGTGCGTTTGGATGTGACGGGAGTCGTGGCCTGTCAGACTCAAGTTTCACGATCGATCTTTCTCCTCTTGAGCAGATTGCATCCCAGATCCGATCTGCCGCAACTTCATACTTTTATCCATCAGTGACTTCAGCTGCATCAGTGCTTGCTGCCTCTGTTAAATCTGCTGCCTCTGCGTCTGCTGCCTCGGTTACTTCTGCCGCATCAGTGTCTGCGGCCTCGGTTACTTCTGCTGCCTCTATTTCCGCAATTTCCGCATATCAAGCTGTGACATCCGCGTCAGTCGTGTCCGTCGCCTCGGCGACCTCCGCTTCGGCTGCCTCAGTTGCCGCCGTAGAGTCTGCTTCGAGTGCTTCGGTTGTGGAGCTGTTCTCTGCCTCGTCGGCCTCTGTGCACCAGGCTTTGATCAACGCCGATTCGTCGGCCTCGGTGCTGCAGCAGTCCGTCCTGTCGGTGGAGGCTGTCGAAGCATCCGTGGCATCCGTCTCCTCTGCATCTGCTGCGTCGGCTTCGGCTGTTTCGGCGGAGTCGGCTTCGTCTGTGGCCGTCGAACAGTCGATCGAGTCCGCTGCCTCCGTGGCAGAGGTCGAGTCAATCGCGTCGGTATCCTCTGCTTCCGTCGTCGAGCAATCGTCTGTTTCCGCCGTGGCCGCTTCCGCATCCTCGGTTTCTGTTGTCGAGCAGTCGTCTTTGTCAGCCGTGGCCGCTTCGTCGGCGGCGGCAGCGGCGGCAGCTGCCAACCAGGATGACTCTGATTCGAATTCCGCGGCCATCATTGGTGGCGTGGTCGGCGGCTTGGCAGGGTTGTGTTTAATTCTGATCCTGGTCATTGTCTTGCTTGTTCGTCGGGGCCGCAAGGGCAAGCCTCAACCCAACCCCGAAGGAGTGATAACCAACCAGCTGTTTGAGAATCCGATTGCCAATCATGCCTCCTATCAATCGTAAGATCGACGAAACGTTCGAAATCATCGACTGTTGCCGCTGCTTGCCATCCACAACTCATGTTTCCAATGCTCTTTTTGTTCTTGTTCCTTCTGTGGCAACATGCAGAGAGGCCAATTCGTCCTACGACGTTCTGTCCGCGCCAGCTGGTGGCAAGGAGTACAATCCTGCCTTCCTTGAGGGCTCGCCCATCTACGACGACCTGAATGCCCCTCCTCAGACGTTCACCAACCCGGCGCACGAAGCCTCCATTCCGTCCAATGCTTACGACGATGTTGGGCATAAGCAACCGAATACCACGTACGCTGAGCCGAACGCAATCATCTACCAAACGCTTGTGCACAGCGGCAATTCCGGCAACTGAACGAGATGAATTGAATGGGTTTAATAATTTGAGAATCGCAACGCCTTCACCAATGGCAGTTGTGCTGGCGTACTTTGCTTCAGATGTATGTGACTGATTTTTGTTTTCCAATGTTGTTTTTGAAGTGTTTATCTGTGTAATTTGCGTGTTCGCTCCACTGTATTCTCTGGGTATTTTTTTTGCTCTGTTGTGTACATACTGTTTCGCTCACTTCGAATATAGGTAACCTCGTTTCCTAATGCATATGCACACGAGGCTGCTCATTGCTCTTTCGTTCTCGTTTGGCACCTTGTTTTTTTTTTCCTTGTTTTTTTTTTTTTTTTTTTCCTTCCTTCTTTTCTGCTTCACTTCTTTTCTTGCTTTCTCTTTTCCTCCTCGCTGCTTCTCTCGTTGTGTTGTTCGGCTTTTTTTTGTTTTCCAGCAACACATGGCAGCCGAAAAGTCCAAGACCGGAACGACACCCGCGCTGTCGTTTGCCAAGGTGGCCGCGACGGGTACTTCAGCTGCGGCAGCCGCGCCCACTCCGACGACGACGAGCGCGCCACAAACCACACCGTCAGCATCAGCAACCGCAACACCGCCACCATCAACATCAGCATCAACCACGACTGCTGCAAACCCATCATCCGCATCTCCAGCAGCGGCAGCAGCACCGCGCTCGACATCTCCGGCAACTGCATCTGCGACTGTCGGCGTTGTGGCGTCATCAGCCAAAGCAGCGGCACCGGCCGTCCCGTCGCAGCCACCTGCAGCACAGCCCGCAGGTCCACAAAGCACCACCAATGCATCGCCATCGCCCACATTGCCAGCAGCAGGACCAACAGGAGCTCAAGCGCAGCCTGGCCACGCTGGAATGGGCACAGCTTCCCACACTGGTAAAACACAAAAAAAAAAAAAAATACGAAATATTCTAACTATTAAAATGAAAAAGAACGTCTCTGTTTTGATTGACGGGATGGTTGCGTACTGGTTGGTGCGAATGCGTGTGTGTAAGAGCTGCTGATTGTTGCGTGTGCGTGTGTGTGTGAACGTCCACTGCAATCGAGAACAGCTGCAGTGTTGCACAAAACGAAAAAAAAAAAAAAAAAAAAGCGGGATAAAATGTCGCTTGTTCGCAAACGCCAAAGCGCACTGCGTCATCGCATTTGAAAGCACATTGGGGATGGAGCGACGGCCACCGGTCCGTGTCGCGTGTGAATCCATGCAGATTGTTGCGAGCGTTCAAAGCAAAACTGAACGAGCTACGAAAACCGACAAGTTGAAACCCAAAAAAAAAAAAAAAAAAAAAAAAAGCGAAAAAAACCCAACAAAAAAAAAAAAAAAGACAAAATTCGAAACCAGAGAAATATAATTGGCTGCCTTTCGTTCTGAGCAATTGAGCGGGGAAGAAAAAAGAGATCTCGAGGAAAGGAACTGTTACAAAAGCGTTGGATCTGACGATGATGCAAACTTTTTGCCTCCCAACAACAAAAAAAAAAACATTGCAGGAGACCTCGGCGCAGAATCCGGCGCGATCGAGCACGACAGCAACGCTCCGCCGATGATTGCCCAGGCCATTCCCACGCGCATCCATGTCAGCAACCTGCCCTTTCGCTTGCGTGAGCCCGATTTGCGGCAGCTGTTTGATCCGTGGGGCGCCATCCTGCATGCCGAAATCATCTTCAACGACCGCGGCTCCAAGGGTTACGGATTTGTCACCTTTGCCACGCAGCAACAGGCAGACCGCGCGCGCTCAATGATGCACGGCCAGGTTGTGGACGGACGCCGCATTGAGGTCAACGCCGCAACAGTCAAGACACGCACGCATGCTGGAGGAGGTGGAGGCAATGCTGCTGGCGGTAATGGCGCAGGTGGCTACTATGGCGGGTACCAGGCGCACGGCGGGCACCATCGTGGTGGTGGCGGGGGTCGCAACGCCGGGATGCACGGCGGGTATGGCATGTACGGCGGTGCTGGCTACTTGCCGTACGGCTATGCGCCACAAAGCTACGGCTCGCACAACGGCCACCATTACGGCCAGGATCACATGGTGCACCAAGCGGGCGCCGCAGGCTTCCAGCCGCACCTCATGTCGCACTTCCAGGCGCACGGCGGCTCTGCCGCGGCTGCAGCGTATGCGCAAATGCTGGGCGGTCCGTACGGCCAGCCGTACATGTATGGAGGCGGTGGACAGTATGCGCAACACCTTCACCAGCAACATCAGTCGCATGTGCATGCCCCGCAGTACTCTGGCCATCCCCAGCATGGCACGCCAGCCGCCACGCACGGCGGTGCGCTCGCCGGTGACGATGGAAGTGGCCTTCTGTACTCTCCGTACCACCCAGCGTACGCGGCGGCCTATGCGACCTCGACGGCCTCGGGCTCGTCGGGGACCCCGCAATCGCCCAAACAGCTGTCTGCGGTCGGCGGAGGGAGCGCGGGTGCTCAGCCAGCGACGCAAGCCGCACAGGCGCAGCATTCATCCGGTTCCAGTGGTCGCGCCTCTCCTGGCAGTGGTGCCACCATGCAATCGCCCACGTCTGACAGCCAGCAGACCTTTCTAACTCCCGCTGCTGCCCCTTCCGGCTCGTCCTCGTTCTACTCGACAACCATGCCGCTGTACGGCGCTGGAAGCGGACCCACCTCCTCAACCTCCATCTCGTCGGCGTTGGATGGGCTCACCCTGGTCGACGAAGACACGCCCATCGCCTGGGGCGCTTCGCAGCTCCAGTTCCAGGGCTTTTACTCGCAACCCGGTGGCGCCGGCAGCGGTAGTAGCACTGATGCCGGAGCAGCGCCGACACCCGTGCCAGCCATTGTTGCGCAGCAAGCCTCCGCAGGCGGCTCAACATCCGGGTCTCCTGCGCCTTCCGCCAAGCCAGCCACGGTATCGTTCGCTGCGGCCGTTGGCGCTACGCCCCATCGCTAGGCCCAGCGCTCGATCTTCAGTTTTGCTCGGTTTTGGTTTGGTTTCTTTGGTTGGTGGTTCTGTTCTCCGCGTTTGCGTTTTGAGGAAACTCTCTTCGTGGTGTTGCGCATTTCTTGTTCTTGTTGTTGTTCTTGTTGTTGTTGGTTTTGTTTTCTTGCAGTTCTTGAGAATGATGTTGTTGCCTGAATGCTTTGCATGTGTTATGCTGCATGGACTCTGCTTGCTGCATTATCACAGTTATCAAACTTGCCTCTTGCTTGGGGCGGTGCTTTCTTTTGCTGTTGCTTTTGCTTTTGTTTTTGGTTTTGTTTTTGGTTTTGTTTTGTTTTGTTTTTTTTTTTTTCTTGGGTTGCTTTTGCTGCTCCTCCTTTGTTGTTCTGAAGAAGGCCGCGAGTCGAATTGTCCCACTTGCCACTTGCCACTTGTTCATCGTGTGCTGCGCAAGGGAATTTGCTTTCAATTTGCTCATGGATTCTTTGTTCGGGCTTCAATTCAACAACTTGTTCTTTGCTCCTTGCATTGCAATCATTCAAAAGTTTATTTATTGGCCGAAACGAAAACAGAATTGAAAAAAACACGGTGAAAATACACTACAATACAACAAGTACAAGAGCTCGATCTCGCTTCAAGCAAAGGAAGTGATCAAGCCAACGAGAGGAAGAACTACCGCCGCGATGGAAGCACACACTACGTAGCCAATGCCAAACATCAGGCCATAATATGAAAAGTTGGCAATGTCGGTCAACTGGTCTCTGTTCAGGTGGGAACGAAAAGCAAATAACAACGATAGACCAGATGAGATGATCGGTTTTCCACCCACCTGCAAACCCCCTGTAAACCCCTTTCAAACAAAATCGCCCGTTTTGCAGACGTACCTGTGATTGACAACCGTGTACAGGTTGGTACACGAGTATCGAAACAGGAAGAGAACAGCAAACTCGACCAGGAAGGTGGGCTTGTCCATCTCAAGCGTTTGGAACGCAACACCAATGCATGCCGCCATGGAGCATCCCATGAGAACAGCACTGGCGCTCAGAAGCCGACCGGAATAGTCAGAGAAAAAGTTGAAGGTCGAAATGCTTTGCCCAAGCCGAAAGATGGACATGAGTGCAGCGCCCAAGCCGGTTGGAGGCTGCACCACAGGGGCGGCGGACTGTCCTTGAGTTGGAGTCGATGTCGCGGAGCTGGCAACTGCAACAGCAGGATTGACAGTCGGCGTATCGATGTTGCTGAAAGAAGGCTGCCACTGGGTGAAGTGAGAGCGTCGGCGACTGCTGGACAGCAAGTGGTCAAACAACCAGCAAAGGCCAGCAAACGAGGATGTGAAGGCAGCGCAAATGCAGAGGAGCGAGACGATGGCACTGGGCGACGTGAGGAGGACGAGCAACGAACCAAGCCCAGACGCTGTCGACGCAGCGCGACCGAGCAATGCCGGGGGCAAGAATTGGGCGATGGCAAATGTAAAGCAAACGGCAATGGTAAAGTTGACCAAGTGCGCTCTGGACATGCGCAACGCAAGGCGATCCAGCACCAGAAGCAAGATCAGATTGCCGATATGTTGCCACCAGCCAGACACGTAAATGTTGCGCGAAAACACACAAATACCAGTCGACACGCAGTGGTGGTCTTCGGCGTTGGTGTTGATACCAAGGAGAGACTCGAACACTGACGAGGACAGATTGGCCGACCCCGATCCGGCCAGCGAGAGCATACCCACGAGTAAAACGAGACACAAGGACGTTTCGACCGTGGGGTACTGCACGCTGACCAGGCGATGTTTGAACGTGACGTTGGCCATCGACGAGCAAAACATGAGAATGAAGACAATCGAGTTGGTCAGCATCAACGACGAGTACTGAGCCAAGACGCGCGTGATAAAGTAGCACACGACGGTCGAGAAGCCGAGCGCCGACAGGGTGACGTTTTCAGCGAGCATTTGGCGAGAAACGTGGCCATACCAGCAGAGAATGCCAAGCGCGAGCAAGGCAGCCTGGATGAGAAGCGAGCCCTCCCAGCCGTCGAGCGCACCGCCAAACGAGGACGCGTCGGCCTGGCCAAGGGCGTCGGATGTCTCGCCTGCAGCAGAACTCGCCGCCAAGGAACGATTCTCAAACATTCTGGGCATGCCGTGCAGATTGGCGTGCAGAGTGTTGATTGCATTGCTGGCAATCAGGGCGACGAATGGGAGAAGAATAATCCACCAGCTCAGGGTGCAAAACACGGCGTTGCACACGCGGTGGAAGGCAATGACGGTATGCTGAGTGTCGCGGTGAATGAGCGACAAGTGTCCGGTACGCAGCTGCCGTTGCAGCACGCAAAAGTCGGCGTGGTTGTTTTCGTTCAGCCCGCCCTCCGAGCACCGTTCCACCAGCAGCCAGCGTGATAGGCCGGCAATGTTGACTGGCGAGCAGAGGATCATGTTGTCCGAGGGTGGCAGGCATAAGAGATCGCGATGATTTTCCACCTTGAGCTCAAAGTTGGGGAGCGCGCGCTGTCGCTTGTACATTTTTGCAAACAAGGCCTTCCACGAAATGTCGAGCACTTTGCCTTGTGTGGCCTGTCTCTGCATTTTGCGAGAAAAGAAGGTAGTCTTGTACAAGCTGCGCCACAGCGAGTTGTCCATGGCGAGAAACCGCAGCCGCTTGTTGACCTGACCAACAGCCACCAAATCGCGGTAGTGCAATAACGCGAAAATTTTGATGAGGAGCTCATCCGGGAGAAAAGGCAGCGAGACTGTGAGCTCGGAAGACTCGACTGATGCTGGGGCAGCGGCGGCTGAAGCGCTGGTAGACACATTCCAGGTCGCGTAGCTGCGATGAAACGGAAGCGAACTGGAGCTATCGCTTCGATGAAACGAGGGCGCTCCCGCGCTGCTCGGGGCTGCAGTGGAGGAGAAGAGCCCCGGTGTGGGTACAGCGTGATTGACTTGTTGCAAAGATGGCGTGGGATTTGAGTTTGTGGATGAAGTGGTGGTCGTGGAGAATGATGCGTTTGGTGGTTGCACGAAGGAGCTCGAAAAACCTGCTGTTGTTGTTGTTGTTGCTAGCAGGAAGGGCTTTGCTAGAACGGTGGCTGGTGGCTGCTGGTCTCTGGGAGCACCGTCCTGCAGTTGCAATATCGGCGAAGTGTTGGTGGAGGATTGTGGGGTGGCAATAATCGAGGAACTGGAGGTTGCTAGCACCGGAGATGCGAGCGCACCCACAGGAGAGTGTTGCAGTCCCAGCGCCGCCGCGGATGCCGTGGAAGGTGCAACCGGAGCTGCAGCAGGAAGAGACGACGATGTAGCAGTTGCAGCCTCTGCTGCTCTTGCCGCAAACACGGCGGAAAACGAGCTTGCAAATCCAGGGAAAGCAGCAGCA